ATTTATTGTAGAGATGAGGTCTCGCTGCCCAGGCGGGTCTTGAACCCGCGGGCTCAGCCATCCGCTCACCTCAGCCTCCCAAAGGCGCGGGATGACAGGCTGAGCCACCGAGCCCGGCTTAAACCAGCCTTAATTGTATGTGGCAACTCTCTAAAGATCTGAAAGTAACTTGAGAGACTGAGCACTGCTTTTTCTCCCCCCAGACTATTTTTGTTCCACTACCACTCACAACACCTCCTCAGACCTTCCCTATTCTGATACCTCAGTTACCAACATCTCACAAGACGTGGCACCCGGAGCGCAACACGATGCTCCCATTGGGCCAAGGTGGCGTTCTTGAGTGGGCACGCGGTGGACACGTTACAGCCCCACAGGCCACAGCAACCTTACTTTCAAATGGCCCTGCATAATTGCAACCTTCATATATTGATAATGGCTTAGACATGTTGAGAACACCATGCTGAGCCAGGCTCTGTGGCTCAGCCTGTAATCCCGCGCCTTTGGGAGGCTGAGGTGAGTGGATTGTCTGAGCCCGCAGGTTCGAGACCCACCTGGGCAGCTTGGCGAGACCTCATCTCTACAATAAACCAAAATCAGTCCATAGTTCCAGCTACTCGGAAGGCCGAGGCGGAAGGATCGCCGGAGCCCAGCAGGTGGAGGCTGCGGTGGCCGGGAGCGGCCACTGCACTCCAGTCTGGGTGACACAGTGAGACCCCAACTCAAAAAAAAAAAAAAAAAAAAAGAATACCATGCTGATTCTTAGAACAAGTCTGTGAGTTGCTAGAACTATCCCCAGTTTAGAAAGACAGACAACGAGGACCAGCTCAGAGACGTGAAGGGTGACAGGTCATGAATCAGACTCTTCACAACCTATATTCTTTCTACACACCGTGTTGCAGTGTCAGGTTATTTCTTTTTATAATCTACTTTACACACAGAAGCTACAGAACAAAAAGGACAAGCAACACAGCTTAAGATCACACAACATGCGTTCTCAAATTAGGGGGAATTCTTATATTTCGTCTTTTATATATGTACTTTTTTCCAGTCAGTGATTCACGTTGTGGCCCAGGCTGTAATGCAGTGGCATGATCACAGCTCACCAATCTCAACATGCTGGTCTCAGGTGATCATCCCACCTCAGCCTCTGGAGTAGCTGGGATGACAGGCGTATACCAGCCTGGCTAATTTTTTTTTTTTTTTGAGTTGGAGTCTCACTTCGTCACCCAGACTGGAGTGCGGTGGCATGCTCCTGGCCACTGCATCCTCGACCTGCTGGGCTCTGGCGAACCTTCCACCTCAGCCTTCCTAGCTGGAACTACAGGTACGTGCTACCATGCCTGGCTAATTTTTGATTTATTATAGAGATGAGGTCTTGCAAAGTTGCCTGGGTGGGTCTCAAACCCGCAGGCTTAGGTAATCCACTTGCCTCGGCCTCCCAAACTGCTGGGATTACAGGCTGAGCCACTGAGCCCGGCCTGCTAATTTGTATTTCTTGTGGAGACAAGGTCTTGCTGTGTTGCCCAGGCTGGTCTTCAGCCCCTGCATTCAAGTGACCTTCCTGCCTCGGCCTCCCAAAGTGCTGGGATTACAGGTGTGGGCCACGACACCTGGCCCACCACCCTGCTTTTCACAAATGAGTGTATGCTTTGTTCTTCTGCATCTTGCTGACTACATCATGGAGACCACCCCACGTCAGCACACACATTGTTATGTGAGCACACACTCACACATGGACATGCTGGCGTTCAACCCACTCCCCAGGAAGATTTTAGTTGTAACACACTCTTTAAGTGATCAGAAGCCGGTAGTGGCTCAGCCTGTAATCCCGTACCTTTGGGAGGCTGAGGTGAGTGGATGGCCTGAGCCCGCGGGCTCAAGACCCGCCTGGGCAACTTGGTGAGACCTCATCTCTACAATAAATCAAAAAATCAGCCGGGCGTGGTAGCGCATGCCTGTAATTCCAGCTACTGGGAAGGCTGAGGCGGAAGGATCGCCGGAGGCCAGCAGGTCGAGGCTGCGGTGGCCACTGCACTCCAGTCTAGGCAACAGAGTGAGACACCAACTCAAAAAAAAAAAAGGAATTATGTAGTATCTTCTAATTTCTCCAGAGGGGTCTGTGTTTCCTCATCATCAACCATTGCTGTAAGATTTTAAGGGATGAGAAAGATGTCCTGGCCAGGAACGGTGGCTCACGCCTATAATCCCAGCACTTTGGGAGGCCAAGGTGAGAGGACTGCCTCACCTTGGGTTTAAGACCAGCCTGGGCAACTTGGTGAGACCTCGTCTCTACAATAAATCAAAGCCGGGCTTGGTGGCTCAGCCTATAATCCCGCGCCTTTGGGAGGCTGAGGTGAGTGGATTGCCTGAGTCTGCGGGTTCGAGACCCGCCCGGGCAACTTGGCGAGACCTCATCTCTACAATAAATCAAAAAAAAATG